ATAAAAAATAGTCTTTGTTTAAACATTCAAAATAGAACTTAGAAAGGTAATATTACAACTTCGTTTTAGTCGTGAGGCCATGACGTGTATGAATTCGTGAAATTGTGAGTGATGTGATTAGATAAATCTATAAAAGTGTAAAACTCTAAAGTTAAAAGTGTAAAAACACAAAAGCTAAAATAATTAAAAAAAGCAAAAAATATATTTTTCTTTTCTTAAAAAAGTCCCGCCTTTAAAAAAATGTGTGTTGTGGCACGCATGGCTTAAGTCACGCCTTATAGAAACGCTATAGACTTTATCGTAATAGGGGAGACGTGTCTTACGCCATATAGCGCCATGGCATCCGTCAGCCATGCTTTTTTGAACACCGGAATATATATGCAAACATGAATATATATATACACACACACATACATGAATGCTTATATATACATGTATGTATATATACACCAATACATGCATACGTAGGGGCTTAATCATTTGAGAATCGATCTGTGAGATCCATCCTAAGCTACTAATTTGAGATAATTAATGCATTTGTTTAGGAAAATTTCAAATTCCATAAATATATATATCTCCTCTCTTTTCTCTCCTATCTCTTATCTCCTCTCTCTTGTAACATACACGCACACACATGCACAATTAAATATGTACACAAGGAGAAGACAATGTGAACACAAGGAGAACCTTAAGAAATTTCGTACTAGGGTGTTCACATTGGTGTTAACGGTATGTTCACTAGCTATACCAAATCTCGTAGACTTAAAGAGTGTGTTCGCAATGTGTTCACAAATTATAATAGTATTTCTAAAGAAGTGTTCACAATGTGTTTACCTTGTCTGAACATTTAATTGTTTGTGTGTGCGTGCGTGTATGTTACGGAGAGAGGAAAGAGAAGATAGGGGAGAGACAAAGAGAGAGTTCTTTAAGTTAAGTTCGATTTTATTTTTTAACTAATTTTTTATGGTCAAAAATTGGATCTCACGAATTTGGAATTTCTTAACAGAAGCCCCCCTATTATATGTATATTGTATATTGTATATATGTATGCATACATATGTATATATGTATCTAAGAATATGGGAGCATCCGATCACAATGAGGAACTCAATAACAACAAAAAATAACATACTTGCTAGTCAAGTATCAATTGTCATACTTGTTATATCTCACTATGAATAGATTTCGGGCAATTCTAATAATTAGTATAAAGGATGCACCGTGCTGCAATAGGAGGCCTAGGACCTGTCATATCTTTTTTCTTTCTTCCAACAAACAGTACCCATGCACATGCAGCATATGTGGGTAGATCCAGCAGTTTTTGGTAATATATTTGGCTTGGGAATATGATGCAAAACATTCCAAAAAACGTGGTTTGCCTCAATTTTCATCTTGTTTGTTTGGTTCAATTTTTGGCTTGTTGGCACATTTTGTCCACATTTATTCTCATCTTGTTCAATGGGATAAGGTGTACATATGTATACACACAGATGTGTATTCGTGCATATATGTGTCTATGTAGATGTATATATACATGTATAGATGTATATCTATATAGAGGAAAGATCTGCAAAGAACCTCAAAAAATAAAATAACTGAAAAACTTACTCTAACTGTTAGATTGTGATGATCTAATGGATATGATTAAAAAGATGGTAACAACCACTTCTTTCTCAAAACAAAAATATCCCACCCCTGTCTTATAATCGAAAATAGGCAAAATATAATCAAAATTGGAGCGAAACAAATTATACAAAAAAAAACAATCATTTTATTCTCTTTGATTTGACATCCATATTGATATACTTTTTCATCTATTTTTAATGGTTCTTCAGTTCTCTTTCTTTGTGGAGGTTCTCTCTAGATCTCAACCGTATATATACATATATGTGTGTGTATTTTGATATATTTATACATATAGATGTATATACACATATCCAAAACGAACTCAAACCAGCCCAATAGGATGTTCCTATTCATGAAGAGTATATGTGAGCGGAAGAAGTGTAAGGTGTAAGAGAAGAAATTGTTTCTTATTTCATAAACTATAGGAGGCACGGAGGCACCTACATATACTACAATACAAAAGCAGACATAAATGCAAGAATCAAATCCCTTCCTTCTTTTGTGATTTGGTTTCCTTCAACACTCCCTCTCAAGTCAAAGCAAAGATGTCAATCATGCCCAACTTTCTTTGGAGAGCTACAAACATGTGTTTATACAAGCCTTTGGTAAGAAAATTTGCTAGTTGTTCATATGATGGAACAAAGGGCATACTAGTAGCATGTTGAAGCTTTCCTTTGATAAAATGACGATCGATTTCAACATCTTTTGTGCGATCATGTTGAACTGAATTATGAACAATTCTAATAGCATACTTATTGTCACATAACAGCTTCATTGGGTTGTCTGTTTCAATCTTTAACTCCTTTGGAGTGTTTCTTAGGCACATAGTTTCGCATATTCCTTGAGCAATAGCCTTGAACTCTGCTAAAGCACTATTTTCGAGCTACGAAATGTTGCTTCAAGCTACAATATGTTGCTTCTGACGTCTACACATTACTAAATTTTCCCAAACAAGGGTACAACAGGTTGACGTAGATCTTCCACCATTCTGCACATCCTCCCCAATCAAAATCTAAAAACTTCAACCTATGTGTTCTGATTTTTGAGAAGAAAATTCCTTTATTTGGCTCCCTTTGAGGTAGTGCAGGATATAGGCAATGTCTACACAAGTATGAGCAAGATAGATCAATTTGCCTACTAGAACTAAATATCAGGTTTTGTTGGCAGGGATATCATCTCTTTCTGATTTTTTATTTGGATTACAGGTGAGGATACAAGTTTGCAACCGAAACTACCTGCTTCCTTGAGAAGATCCATCGAATACTTTATTTGAGAGATAACAATTCCTTTTGATTACCTTGCCACTTCCATTCCCAGATAATACATGAGACTTCAGCTTGTCTTTTATTTCAAATTGTTGAGTTAGGAAATTCTTCAAACCGGCTAATTTTGTCTTACCATTTCCTGTCATGACAATATCAACAACATATACAATTTTGATAGCCATTGTACCTCCTTTTGAATGTTGTAGAACATGGTGTCATCTAGCTAAGCTTGTTTTAAGTCCTACCATTTCATACCCTTTGTGAATCTCCCAAATCATGCCCTTAGAAACTGTTTTAGTCCGCACAGGGCCTTCTTCAACCTACACACTCTTCCAGCTTATCTGACATTGTCAAATCCTGGGGGGTATTTGCATAAGCACCTCCTCCTATAAATCACCATTTAGAAGCATTTGTTACATCAAATTGCAACAAAGGTGAATCTAAGTTAGCAACCTATGATAGAAGCACTCAAATTGTATTAGGTTTTGTAACTGAGGCAAATGTCATACGTTTGGGTGATCCCTGTGGCTACAAGTGTGGCTTTGTATCTTTCTAATTTTCCATCAATTACCTTCTTGCAAAATGTAGATGTTTCTTGTAACAATTGTTCTGACTTCGAAAATTTTCATCTCAGCTAGCTTAGGTTCCAGCTATATGAAAAACTACCCTTAAGAACTGAAAGCATCCATATAGCACCTCAATCTTAAGCATCCATAACATCCCTTATCATGTCTCCTCATTCATGGACAACCAGATAACACCTCAATCTTAAGTTGTTGTTTGTCCATGTAGCAATATCTAACACTTGAACAATTCTTTGAAGGGCATCAATTAAACCATTACAATGTCGGTGGCAGCAAATCATAAATTGGGCATCAAACCATACCATTAAAACCCATAGGTCTTCTTAATCTCAAAATCTGATCCCAAAGAGAGAAAATAACATTCTTTTGTCCTATGAAAGGCTACTGGGACTATGCAATCCTCGAACTTAGAACATACTGTCAGCTAGTGAAAAGTTGATATGGATATGTACACAGTTTAGAATCGATTATTAACCAAGGCACTTGTAGAGGCAATGCAACCTATTGTGTACAAAGTGAAACCTAAATCTGAACTCTACCCATTGAAAATAAAAGCACACACATAGATTGATCCAAGATTCAAAATAAACAAAACAGTGTCATATATCCAGCCACTAAACAGAGGCAAATCTACAGTATAAAGAGGGTTGACATAGGACAACTCATAAAAAAGGATATGATTAATTTGGCTACTACACCTTTGGTGAAAGCTCACTAATATCCTTAATCACAACCGCCCTCACTCAATAATTATATACCATAACCACAAGAGCATAGCTCGGTGGCAATCTCCTTGGTCAATAAAGGTGGTAGGGAGGGCTTTGCTGGCTCTTGGACTGTCTGATTAGTGGCGCTTAGATATCACTTTCAAACAATTATAAATCGTTACAAAGTTTTAGAGTAGTAATGTTGAGTAAATATATCACAACCGTCAGGTTACATAGTTGAAGTATGAAATGCAGGTCATCCAGTGAGAACGTTAGTAACATGTTTATCCTATGAAAAGTCAAGATAAGTTTAATGGAAACATAGACTTTCGAAGTCATTTTGAGGACAGAACTTGTACCCGCTCTGGGACTCCTAGATCTTGCCACTATGGTTTACACACAAGGCATAATACACAATATACTACCACCAAAATAACCATAGTTGACCACAAGGCTTGTGGCATAGTGGTTGAGGCCAGGGATATGGTGAAATATTCCATTTGTCCTGGGTTCTATTCCAGGTGGCTGTTGAGTTTATACGGGCCGGTTTCTTGCAATCAAAATTTGCCGGATTAGTCTGGGGCATGGACACCTTCCCAAAAAAAAACCATAATTTTTGGGAAGTAAATATATAAAGTTAAATACTTTCTTAATAGTTAATACACTGTCAAGACAAAAATGGTGATCTTTCACCATTGCCCATTGGTGATGGCTTGGCCATAGTTTCCTCTTACTGATATGTAACAAAAAAGGCATAAATTGAATTGCCAGAAAGTAGAGCAAGTGATTTAGGTGTGAAAAAATAAGCAAAAACTTACAAGATCAACAAGAGCCGCGGCCTTCTGATAAGGCGATCCGTAAGCGATAGCATCCGATCGCCGCTTATAAACTCTCCGCCCTCCTGCGACACCCCATCGACTACTAGTTTCTCCGCCGAGCAAAGACGCATCCATCACCTTTTTCGTCTAGATGGAAGATCTGAAACCTGTGGCAAGGAACACTGGTGGGTGACTGAACACACTAATAACAATAATGGAGAAACATATAGATACAAGAAGTTTATATGTATATGTGGAGAGAGAAAACGACATTGAGTGGGAGTCAAAACGGCTCCAGCGCGTAGTAATGGAGATAGCTGACAGGTATTATGAATTGGTTGGAGAAATATTCAAAACGATAAACCCCACCCCTCTGTCACCTTTTATATTAAGACACGCTTTCTTACGACTTGCCCAAATTGGGTCCATCTTATCCTAACAAACCACCCCAGCCCCACCTCCAATCTACGGTTATTTTCGTTTTTTCGAGAGAAATTGCTAAAAGATGAACGGGTGTTTGAGATTGATTATAAAAATAATTTATTGATTTATTTTGATATGGTATCGATAATAAGTATTTTTGAGTGTTTGTTTAAACAATTTATATCGGTGTTAAACCGGTAATAAAAAGTTTTTAAAGAAATTAAACTCTTCTGACTTATAATAAGTTGACAAATGCTTTTGTAAAAAAACATAAGTTGTTTCAAATAAGCAATCTCAAACACCCTCTAAATGTATTTTATTACATGAATTAAAATTTATTATTATAATTATGAAAGTTGTTATTCTTTCTCTTACTTCGTGATTTTTTAGCATATTTTTTTTATTAACCTGGATATCTAACCCGCTATGCAAGCCGACTAATCCCAGGACAACCACCTGCTTTGCAGATAGCCCGGAGTCACTGCATTTGAACCTCCGTGGCCACAAGAGGATTTTTATTTCTCTTTGGATTTGAACTTGGGACCTCTTGGTACTTTTGACCTTTGAGCTAAACCCAAACAACAGATTTTTAAGTGTCAGTATAAAGAAACAATGATATGACATAGTTTTATATTAGAAGTTATGGTTGTTGTGAGTTCGTTTTCTTAATAAGATATTGGGTTTTCATAATAATATGACGTTATATATTTTTTGTTGATATGGTAGTGAATAGTATAAGAAACTATGGGGTACGAGCATTTCCAACAGATTTTTTAAAATTGATAAGCAAAACTTCAAAAATAATTATCTTCACCTCCAACAGATATATAATTGATTATACTATTAAAATATTTTATACAATTAATAAATTATTATTTCTCTCTCCTAATCATTTGAATTCAAGAAATCTATTGGTGGAATGAATAAAAAAATCATTTCTTTCTAATAAGTAATATTTTTTGGAGAAATCTCCAAATCTGATGAATTTAATCATCTCTCTCATATTTTCTCCATTTTGAAAAGGGTTTTGAGGAATTTGTTAGAACAAAAATCCCCAAAATCTTCATTTCGAAAAATCTGTTGGAGATGCTCTAACTTTTTATAAAGTGTTGTAGATGTTAGAATCGGGTCAAATCATGCATTAAAAATATAAAGGTAAATTTTGGTGTAGATGTTTGAAGAGGACATTAGTAAGTACAAGAGCATTTACGGGCCGTTTATCAAACTCTTACATGGGTAAGCGCTTCCCAAGTAACATTACCTCACCGGATGAATATAGTAACGACCAAGAATCTTACCCAGTAAGAGCGAGACAAGGACCAAGAGTCGTACCCGGTAAGTGAGGGAGACTACTCTTACCACGGTAAGCGTTTACCGGATAAATTGTTGCATACCATATCATTTTTGTGCACTAAAATCTTACCCGATAAGTAAATAATAGTGTTAAATTTTACCGGTAAATACTTACCGGCTAAGTGTTTGGTAAACGGCCCCTTAGTAATATGTAGGGATGCATTTAGTCTGTCTTTTTTAATAAGAATTTTGGTAACTGTTATACGTTATGTTAAATATATTTATAAAATATGTATGAATAATTTATTGAATGACAGTTTAGTTATAAAAAATACAAATTGTTTAATCATTAATTAATAGTGATATATTTTTTTTATTAAATTATAAATTTAACGTTATATATTAACAGATATCAAAAAATACAAAATATATCTGATATTACAACAAAAACTCTCTTAGCTTTATCCAAGAGTACGAAAACTATTTCCAAAATCACGTACAATTATACAATAGGTCAACGAATCATCATTTACAATTATATTTGATTGACGAGATTTAACAAGGATTAAGAAAAGAAGAAAATAACGAGGAATATAATATTTAATTTAATATTTTAATATTTAATAAAATATGGTGTTTAATTTAATGTTAACACTTAAGAAATGGGTAGAAATTATTGTAATAAAAATATAATTTTTAAGTTGGTGTAACACTTTAGAAATTATATAAAAAAGTGTATCTTTGTGGATTATGATATAGAGGTTGTTCAGTAACAACTTAATGAGCTGTATATCATGTATGTTATTCGGTAAGCCATACATTGTTGTTTGAAAATAGCTTATTGGTTTAGAAGTTGGCTTATTCACTCAGCCTGGTTTCCATTCTTACCCTTTGTAATAAAACAAAAAAACACGCCTGAAAACTTCTCTATCGATCAATTTATGAATCATGGAATCAGATCGATCACTCCATGAATTAATGGAATCAAATCAATCACTCCAGAATCAAATAAATCATGATCGATTCCTCTCTGATTCAAAGAAATCTCGATCGAGCGGTCTGTTGGTTTTGGAATGGTAATGACTAACACAATAAGTGTTTGTAGAAGGGGGTTTGAATACAAACGTAACAGATTTTCAATTTTTAATTACATATGTTTATTAAAAATAGAGAATTACATATTTGTTGCAGAAGCTAAGAAGGTAAGACTTGATCTTAATCAAAGTTGGTCACAAATTTGTTAATAACTGAAAGGGTAAGAGAAGAAGGTACCCCTTCAGATCTGAAGTACTGAGATAGTCCTTCAGATGGTTGATGCCAATTTTTTCTAAAAAACTATCACTCAAATTTCCTTTAGAAAAACGGGTGAGTTGCAAAATATGATAAGAATGGCGTTTTTATAACCATCAATGTATTAAATGTTGTTGTCCAACTTTAATGCATGTTTTTATCTGATTTGCTGGTCGGTGCATGCTTGTGCTCCTTATTTCAGACTTTGAAGGTGATGTAGACATTTGTTAATTCAAGTCAGACTTATCAAGTCACATTACCTTACCGGATGAATATCTTAAGGGCCAAGAATCTTACCCGACATGAGCAAGACAAGGACCAAGAGTCTTACCTGATAAGTAAGGACGATGACTCTTACCACGGTAAACACTTACATGGTAAATTGATGCATACGGTACCGCTTTTATAGACTAAAATCTTGCCCGATAAATAAATGATAGTGTTAAATTTTATCGGTAAGTACTTACTGGGTAAGTGTTTGGTAAACGGCCCCTTAGTTTGAGATTGGCTATGCATATATGTGTGTTTTATTTATATAGTTTTTATCAATATGGAATGTTAATAAAACTCATTATTTCCATAGAGATAAGTTAAAATAGGTTTTAACAAAAGTGTAACGAATTTTTGGATGCATGCAAATTTTTGTAACACCTTTTTTTGTAAAATAGTGATTATACAAAATAATACCCTTTTAAATTTAGTGTCACGTCATCGAATCGTTAGGATGCTTGGCACTTTACAGTACCGAGGTGATAATTTGCGCCCTAGCAAGACCTAAACGAAATGGTCATAAATTATAAATTGGACGACTTAACCGAGACCCTGATAAGACCTAAGCTCGAGGCAATAATCATGTGAGAATGAAAGTTAATGTGAGAAGATTAAGAAGAGATTTGGACCCTTAATTATTTTTAATCTTAAACCCACTCATGAATCGTGTTTGATACGTGGATTGATCCCGTGCATCTTGGTGCATCTCATCCTAATCTGCATCCAAGGATCCAAATTCATTTTTACGCTTCTTACCTTAACTCTTCTTCTCACTATAACCCAACCCTTATCATAATTATGAAATGTAATAACTTGCAAATGGTCGTGTGAAAAGGAAAGTTAAGTTGAGAAGCGTAAGAAGAAATCTGGACCATTAATCTCATTTAATCTCAAACCCACCCATGAATCACGTTCGATACAAGGATTGATCCGGTGCCTCTCGATGCATCTCATCTCGGTACCTCTCATCCTAATATATATCCAAAGGTCCATATTACTTCTTACATTTTTCACTTTAACTCTCATTCTCATCGAACCTCAACCAATTAATAAATCTGATAGCATTTATTTTGAATCGTGAGAGTATTATAAAAATATAATTTGTTGGACCACATGACCATTGAGTGGCATCAACGTGCGAAGATGTAGTTGATAGGCGAAAATGCCACTGGAGTTGGAGTTATTTACGAAATTGTACAAGTGGTATCCACTGTTGTCGGCAGCAATTGGGATGGTATCCAAGTAAATATTTATGTTATGGGTTTATTTAAAAAAAAAACATTCTAAAGATCTTATTAATTTATGTATAATGATAAGAATGAATAGATTATATTTTTCATCCCTATGGTTTGCAAAAATTATTGATCAAGTCCTTAATCTTAAAATATTATAAAATTGTATTCTATTTATAAAAGTTATAAAACTACCCTTCTATTTTTTGAATAACTGTTATCATGCCACAAATCTTGACCCATCGAAGCTGCAAATCTTGACAAGATGAAATGCTAAGATTACTTTTCACACGTTTAGCACTTCTCAAATGAACCCATGACTATATATATATATATATATATATATATATAATATAGGGTATATTTCAAATGCAACTATGTTTATTTGTACAACCAATGTAACCCAATTAATTGAGATATTTGTGGAAATGATGAAAGTTTATTTATTATAATTTGAATATTTATGGAAGATGACTAAAGTTAATTAATAATAATCAATATTTTATATTAGGAAACAATCAAAACTTTTATGAAATCACATATTTATCAAATTAAATGGACGATTGAAATTGTTTTGTATTGATTGTACCAATGCAAAGGGTTGCATAATAACTCACATACCTCTCTCTCTCTCTCTCTCTCTCTCTCTCTCTCTTTATATATATATATATATATATATATGGGAGCGATCAAATGCAAACT